AAGTAATTTACATACTATGATGGGATTGGCTAGCAAGTCCTACTATTCTAGAAGAGAGCGTCTTGGCTGCCATGTTGTTACTTGATTCTGGGATACTAGAAAAGCTACAAACACCATAATGTATCTACTTTGGAGATACCACGTGTAGGATCCTCATACAGGCTGATGGCTACCACCATTATGAGTCATCTTTAAAAGTTGTCTAAGCTGTCTGTATTCTTTCCTGGCTTTAAAACTGAGTGTGAGTATACTGTTCTGGTTCTAACCAAGAATCTAACCAAACTGAAAGAAATCCAGTCCTCAAAATCTGCTGTTGCTAATGTGGTGCGACACTCGGGTTTTGGAATCGGCCACAGCCTCCTCAGCCCACTAGGGACAGGGCCTCGCCCTTGTGGTAAATTGAACAATAAAAGTTTAATGCTCTGGTTATGTGCCAGGGATTAAACTGTGGCAGGAGAAGCTGGAAGCTGGCCCTAGCAGGGGAGAAGCCCCCAGGGGTCCCTACAGCAGAAGTAAGAGACACAGTGGCAATCTGCCTGTAAGATGGCCTAAAGTTGGGAAGGAACTGCCTAGCTCCAACTTCATTCCTCCTCAAGCTGGCACAAGGCCAGCCTAAGGAGGTGCTTACCTAGAAAGAGGAAAGAACAGAGAAAGAGAGTTCTTTGGAGGAAAAGGCAAACTTCTGTAGAATGACATTTCTACAATGGCCCCTCTCTTCTCCCTGTTCTGGGGAAAAGAAATTATATCTTGGAAGGAAGGAAGACTGAAGGCAAGAAAGGGCAAAAACTTGTTGGACCCCAGTGTCCACTCCACCCAAAGGAACACTTTTGGGTTCTAGTACAAGTGTCAAGTTTAAACAGCACACAGAAGGAATCTCAGCCATCTTACCTAGGCAGAGGCTACACACCGAGCTAGTCAGATGTCAAATGAAGATGAACACTGGAGATGTTCTCACCTGCAAACCTGTGCAGGGTACTGAGGCACACTCCTCAGTCCTGCTGCTAAGTTTGTCCTTATTCAGGACATAAAACCTCAGACAAAAGCTACAAACCCCAACTTCCAGCTTCTGCCAAGCATTTCCCATTAACTGTCCAGCAGTACAAACAATCCGCTTGTTATGTTTCAATGTTTCACTTTTTTTTGTTGTTTTCAAAAATGCTTTAATAAAAAAAAAAAAGAAAAAAAGATTAGCCAAGATGATTATTGTTTTGTAAAGACACTTTAAAAGGACAACCTAAGCATCGAAGTAAAAACTAATAGCTTGGAAAAAACTAATAGTGACAGAAATTCTTTTCCCCAGTGGTTGTTTTTCAAGTTCTCAGGGCTGGTGCCACCTGCTGCCTGGGCTTTCCTCTGCAAAACAGAAGATCTCTCAACAGTCTGTTTCAAGTCACATCTGCAGGCTGAGTGAACAAACTGTGGGTTGGCTCTGAGGTGGGAATTATTTCCTTAAGTAGTGCACTGAACCGTGCTGAATCTCTATTTATTAATAAACTAAATTTATGTATACAAGCTTTTCCCAGTCAGCTGTATCTTTTTAAAAATCATGGTGAATTATAAAATTTACCATTTTAACTAGCACTTTCTCCTTGCCTACTGGGCCTTGTTACACGGCACAGGCAGGCTGCTGGCCTCAAACTAGTCTCTCATCTCATCTTTCCAAATAGCTGGAGTACAACTGTATTATCACTGTGCCTGACTCCCAGATGTATCTAAAAGTTAATTCACACTAAATGGGAAAAGGTCTGCTCCTGCAGTAAAATCAGCCTACTTTGTTGCTTTTTCCAGATCAGTAACCACTTAAAAGTCAGTTCACATGACCTAGAGCTAGGTTAGCATAAGTGCAGCCTACGAGCCAATCATGACCCATAAACCAAATTCAGACTGGGTTTTTAATTATAAAAAATTAAAAAAAAAGACAAGATACTGACATGTACAAATGATATAAAGATTTAAATTTCAATGTTCAAAGAGTTTCATTAAAACACAACAATGAAGCCAGGTATGATGTTATTGCTCCAGCCCTTTAGAGGCAGAGGCAGCCATATCTCTGTGAATTTGAGGCCAGCCTGTTCTATGTAGTGAATAACAACAGCTGGAGATGCAGTAAGACTATGTCTTGGGGAAAAAAAAACAGCAATGCCTATTCATTTTGTCCATGACTACTTTTACTTATACAGTCGGAGGTGAGAAGCTGCATCTGTTCCAGTCGATGGGCCACAAGGCCTATAAAGCATTTACTGTTTTGCCTTGGTCTAGAGCAGTGGCTAAACCCCTTTGCGGGGTCAAATAACCCTTTCAGGGTTACGTACAGTCGTCAGAAAATGCAGATATTTACATTATGATTCATAACAGTAGCAAAATTATGGTTGTGAAGTAGCAATGAAATAATTTTATGGGGGGGGGGTGTTGTCACCACAACATGAGGAACCATATTAAAGGGTCAGAGCATTAGCAAGGTTGAGAACTACTGATCTACTGCCTTAGGTAGAATTCCAGGCTCAAAAATTCTAAACTAGGGGCCATTGAGACGACTCAGAAGTTACAGGTGTTTGTATTAAGCTTGATGATCTTGATTTAATCTCTGGGACCAACAAGGTCGACAGAGAGAATGACTAACCAAAATACTCTGATTTTCACATTCACTCCATTAAGCCCTCATGTCCATACTTCCCCAATAAATAAATTCTTGAAAATTTTAGATTCTACACTAATGATGATACACTGCCATCTACCAAAAATTCCCAATGTGGATATTATGAAGCTGTAAGTTTGTTTTAATCATTTTGCTTTTGGTTCATCTATGCTAAACTCTGAACATATTGATAGATAGCTATATTGAGCACACTAACTTGTATTGGTTAGGAGTGAGCCTAAATGTAACACTTTCTTGCTTTGAGATTTATAAAAGGAAAGCCAGGTGATGATGATGGACCCCTTTAATCCCAGCATTCAGGAGGCAGAGGCAGTCGGATCTCTGTGAGTTTGAGGACAGCCTGGTCTTTAAAAAAAGGGGGGGGGAGGAGGGTACTCACTGCATTTTAAACACTTAAGTTATTCATCTATGGGGCTAAGAGAATGTACTATAGAGTATGAAGGTAAGCAAACTCAGGTTTTATAACAACACACATTACTGACTAATAGGACAAATTCCAGATGAGAAGTCAGGGGAGGATGGTGAGAGGCAAGAGAAGGCCTCCACTAACCCGTCTTCTTATCAGTTGTGAAAGACGAGAAAGCGTGACAAAAGAACGGAGAGACTGGAGATCATTTGGGGTTGGCTGTACACTATAATTAGAATAACACTGAAGGAGAATGAGCTAACTGTTTTTATAAAGTCAGCATTCAAAAATGCAAACCACCAGTAATTTAAATATTACAAAGTTGTGCAGAATATAAGTATTGGAATAATTTTTTCCATCCACAAAATTTTAGAGAAAATTACAGTATCACAAAATATGAAATGGTAAGTTTGGCATATTCTCAGTGTACAGCATTTTTTTTTTAATTGGAAAGGATTTAACAAACTAGTGGCTAGGTTCTTGACAGGATATGATGCTGAAAACCATGTGGTTTGTTTCTGAAACTGCTTCTGAAACCAGAGGGGAACCATCACAAAGGCACTGATGTAGCAGAATGCTAAGCGACCAGGCTGATGAGAGTTTGAGTTACTTAGCAAACTGTTTCACAACAGCCATGAAATTTGTCCTTACTCAAGACTCCTAAATAAAAGCATACCAGCTTTACCCAAGAGCTGTTGCATCTGACCTAGTACAGCAAAGGTGCCTAACAGATGTCACCTCCCTGCAAGCGTGGGCAGAATAGGCTCCCAATGCTTTCCAGAGCTATACTGTGCCCTTTCCGGGAAGGAAAACCAGTCTTGTTTTCACCCGTACCTCTCTCTCTCTCCAAAGTGTACTCCTGAACACACAGATAGCAAAGTGGAAGGGGTTACTAGGTTACAGTTATGTTGACACATCCTGGCTCTTGAAACGTCCCTCCTTCCCTCCTGTTCACATACTACAAACAGTAGAAGTTAGCAAATTATAGAAGTTCCATAGAAGGCAGCAATCACCTAGAAACCACTTCTACTGAGTCTCAGGTTTGGAGTGTTGGGAACCCCTCATTCTGCTGTCCCAAAGCCCAGCTTTGCCTTTTGCCGGGATTCATCCTATAAGAAATTCAGTATTTGCAGGGTAAACGAGGTGTCTAGTCTTTAGTGATCTGGGAAACACTATAAAAACTATTAAAATGTTTACTGACTGTTTGTACATGGTGGAACACTCTAAGCAAGTTAAATGATAACAGTGTTATCATTTAACGTTCACCAACACTGCGCATGGGAGTGAGTTACCATCATGCCCCCCTTTCAGATCAAGTAACAGGTTCAAGCAGCTCAAAGTCTCCCTCAAAATCACACAGAAAATAAATCTCAGCCTTTCCCCTAAATCCAAGCTGGCAAGAAAACAAAGCAACTCTGAGTTTTTTTTCACCAGCAAACCCCTGTCTTCACAACATCACAATATGCAACTCAGGGTAGAGACCCCAGTGGCAGGTTCACCAATGACCTATGCTCAGTAGCACTCAACAACCTGCAAAGAAATTGAACTGGGCCAGACAACACCCTCATGCCTATCCTTCCACTGGGAAAAGATTCTGCGGCAAGGAAGGGCGTGTGGGAACTAAGCTTCCATCCCAGCTTCCATCCTGGCTAAGGGCACCTCCTCGGGTGAACCGCGCGGGGGACTCGGCCTGGGAAGCAGGACTCCGGACTCCTGCACTCCGTACGCGCGACCTTAGCCGTCACGCACCCCTTCTCTCCCGAAAGTAGTGAGCAGAGTCCGGAAAAGTTCGAAGCCGGCACGCGGGGCAGAGTCCCGGTAACGCGGGACAGGCGCGTCCACGCCGCGTGCCAGGACAGAAGCCCAAGCATCGGGTTCTCCGGGGTCCACGCGCGAGAGAGGGCGAGCGGGGCTTGTGGGGGCCGGGGTCTCACTCACCGGGGCTGGGGCGGGTACCGGGCGCGGGCCGGGCCGCCAGACTGAGAGCAGCGGCGGAGAGCAGCGCGAGGCGGGCGGCGGGCGGCGCCATGGGCCGTCAGTGCGGGACCCCCGGGCGCGGCCCGGGGCAGAGGGGGCAGCACCGGGAGCCGGGGGCGGCCATGGGAGCAGGACGGAGCTCAGCGTTGCCCCGCCCCTGCCGCCCGGCCCGCCCTCCTCAGCTCCGCCCCGCCCTCTTGAGCGCCGCCCCGAGTGCCAGCCTCCTGCAAGGCTCTAGAGCCGAGCTGACTGCACATGCGCGTTTTAGTCGCGGCCTGCCACTCACGCGCCAGAGCCGGCCCCAGCCCCGCCCAGCCCCGCCCCCACGGGCCGCGAGGTGAGGCCACCCGAGGTGTGGAGTCTGCAGGTGAGGGCGGGATGAGCCCTGCCTCTGAGTCCCCACGCTGAGGGTTGTCGGCACTGACACGGGCTGGGCGCCCAGTGACCCCTGTTTCACCCTCAACTAGGTCGTGACCCACGCGCGGGCTCCACCACTGCGGTAGTAACCAGAGCAAACCGCCTTCTCTTGCTAGGCTCGTGGTAGCGGTTAGCCAAAGCGTGTTTTGGAGTCCTCCTGACCTGGTTCCTATCCCACTTTGGTCACTCGTAAGATCTGTATAAATTTGTACAAGTTTAAAGAAAACGGGGTTCCCTTCTGCTAAGTGGTATGTTGAAACAGTCTGCTCCACAAAGCGGTTGTACAAAGTGAGAATGCATGGAAGCCACGCACGCAGAATGAGGGCTCAGTAAATGTGGAGTTCATTCTCTTTGTGGAGTCCTGCAGCTACCCAAGGGACAGCATATCTGTGTCAACTAGGGCAACTTATTCTTTTAAAAATATTTATTTACAACGGGGCAGTGGTGGCACACGCCTTTAATCCCCGTACTCGGGAGGCAGAGGCAGATGGATTTCTGTGTTGGAGGCCACTCTGGTCTATAAAGCGAGTTCCAGGACAGCCAAGGCTGTTAAACAGAAACAAAGAAAAACTATGTATGTATGCATGTATATGTATATTTATACATATACTGTATATGTATAAATATACATACATATATGTTTGTATTTTTTTTTAAAAAAAATTTGTATATGTGTGTGAGCGTATGCATAAAGTTAGAGGACCGCTTGTGGGAATCGGTTCTCCTTGCACTGTCGGTTCTGGGAATCAAACTCAGGTCCTCAGGGTTGGTGGCGATTGTCTTTACCTGCTGAGCCATCACACCAGTTTTAAATTATCATCATCATCATTATCATCATCATCTGAGTCAGGTTCTTACTGTGCAGCCCTGGTTGGCTTGGAACTGTGTAGATAGATCAGGCTGCCCTCGCACTCACAGAGGTCTTCCTGCCTACGCCTCCCAAGTGCTAATTAAAGGTGTGTGTCCCCACTCCCAGTTAAATTATTTTTAATTAGTATAAAATGGATGATACACTATATATATTTGCATATATATGTATCTGTATATATGTACATGTAGATACGAATACAAAATACAATATATATTTTGCTCAAATTCAAAATTTTACACACACACACACACACACACACACACAGATAGATAGATAGATAGTCAATGTGTTTTGCTCAACCATCAGCAAAATTGGAACCATAAAAGACCTCAAGGTTCAAAGACATGGAAGCAACTAAAGTGCCCAACTCGATGTGTCTCTTCATTAGGGGAGACTTGGGGCTCCGGTAGCTTAAATTCTCGGTCTCTGCGAGGCAGCTTCCCCCCTCTTCCCCCCCCCCCCCCAGCATCTCGAGCCTCTTTACTCCTCCTCACACCCCTAGGCAGCAGGGATTTTCCGATTGCTCTCGCCTAAAAAACGCCGTGGTGACGCCCAGCGGGACAGGTCCGGGCTGTGCGCCGGAGCTTTCAAGTCCTTGGTTCGGGGCTGACAAGTGTAGGCCTGCACTAGGCTTGGCGGCAGCGGGAACATCTGCCCTCCTGTTCTTACTCGCTGTGCCCAGAGCAGGGCTGGGCGGTCCTGGCCCCGCGGGATACCCTGGCCTGCCTGGGGTACACTCAACCCTGCGCCCCTCGCCCTCTCACTGGGCCGGTGTTCTCCCCAGCCTTCCCACACTCAGGAGACAGCTCCCAGAGCTGAGGCCCAAGGGCGTAGCTACCTCCCACGAGGCGCCTGCCTTTCTGTCCCTCTCCACCCACACGACCCAGGGCTGTGGCAAGAAGAATCTTGTTCAATCGTTTGCTTTCCCTGTCTTTCCTGAATTCAAGAACCCTAGGTGTTTCTGAGTGGACACTCCCACCACCCAGTGGACACACCCTCCACTTGCTAGTGAGAACTCAGCCTCCATGTTTCACACGTGGGACTGTTGCATAATTTTTTTCTTTTCTTTTTTTCTTCCTTTTTAACTGAGGGCCAAACATGACCCATGAACATCGGACATGAAGGAGCAGAGAGCAACACAGTTGCAACAAGGACAGAGCAATAAGATTATGGCTAAGTCTGTAACAATAAGGGGGCTGCCCCAGGTGCTTGTGATATGGGCAGCCGCCGCTGAAGGGAGCGCTCCACTAGGCCGCTTCACTAAGGTTGTTAGTAAGGGCCATAGGACTTTTTGGTGATGCGCCTGCTTTTGAGTCACCCCAGCTCCTGTTGTGTGAAACGGGATAAATTCATTGGTTACAAAGCTGGGCTCGGGAGGAGTCTGCCTTGGCTGCTGTTGGAGCTAAATGCATGGTGAATGAGTGTTTGTTCATGCCTTCTCAGGAAAAGCAACCCAACCCAACCTACCCAGGAAAAGCCTGTTCGCTCCTCCAGCAAGACCTGCGACCTCTACACCCTACAATCTTGGCTGTCCCTCTCAAAAGCAGCATTATCTTCAAAGACAATAAAAACCAACAGCTAACATTGGTGCGGACACCAGGTGCGCCTTCCTCCACTCCAGTGAATAGTCAGACATGGGATGGGGATATAGCTCAGTAGATAGAGTGTTAACTTAGCATGCACAAAGACCTGCTCTCAAAACCAAATAAACAAGGTGGGTGGCACACACATGCCTGTCATCTCAGCCTTCGGGAGGTAGAGGCAAGAGAATCAAGAGAGTTCAAGGTCACCCTCAACTACACAAGTACAAAGCCAGCCTGGACTACTTGATACTGTCTCAAAATAAAGACGACAGGAATGTGGGAAGTGCTGAGGACATAGCCATCAATGGGACAGCCCAGACTTAGGGTGCGTGTGTCTGAGGGTATTTCCGACACCCCAGAATACAACAGAGACACCAATAAGAAGGTGCTCTGTGCGTGTGTGGCCAGCGCTCTAGTGAGTTATATCTCCAACCCTATCACTAAATAATTGTTGAAGGCAAGTGGGCTCACTTCTGTCACACTTGGGGCTGGGAATGTGGTACACTGGGAGAGAGACTTGCCTAGGGTAAGTGAGTCCTTGGGTTTCATCCAAAACACAACAATCAGTCAAGATGCAGGAGAGAAGTAGAACCCAATTCTCTGCAATTTAACTTACCTACAGTTTAATAGACTTTTTGTTTTGTTTTTCCAAGACAGGATTTCTCTGTGTATCTCTGGTGGTCCTAGAACTTGCTCTGGCCTCAAACCCAAAGATCCTCTTGCCTCTTTGTCCTGAGGGCTGGGATTAAAGGTGTGTACCACCACACCACCACATCTGGCTACTAGAGTCTTTCTATATCTCCTTTGGGTGTTGGAGGAGAAAATAGGAAAGAGGCACACAAGAGATCTAAAACAAGACTATTTTGGCCAACTCAGGGCATCCAGGCCTCCTGATAATAGCCTGAGACAACTGTGCCTCCTCCTCCCTTATAAAGAAAGTTGCCCCTGTGGAACTGGCATCAGCCTCTATGTTCATCAGACTCTCCAACTTTGGTGCCATCAGATAAGCTCTACAGTTTGTATGGCTGCATAGGAAATGAAAATACAGGCTCCTAGCTGGGTATGGTGGCATATACCTTTAGTCCCAGCACTCAGGGGGCAGGTGGATGTCTGTAAGCCTGAGGCCAGGATGGTCTGCAGAAGGAGTTCCAGGACAGCCAGGGTTACACAAAGAAACCCTGTCTCTAAAAACTATACCCCCTTCCACAACACACACACACAGAAAATACAGGGTCCTGTGTTCAGACTTATTAAGAATTTCAAGCTTGGTCTTATGGCTCACACCTGTAACCCAGCTGAGTTAGAGGGATCGTTCAAGGACAAATAATGAGAGGCCGGCTCAAAGAAAACAGAAGAGTTTTAGGATGTTGACAGGAAAGCATTAAATGGTGTCGTGGCTTATCTAAGCACTCTGATCTTTTTCACTACATCGGTAACACACTCATGAAAGTGACACTGTGTACTCAGCCTGTGAGCTTCTGCCCACTGGGTGACCTTGAGAAAGAAGCATCCCTTCGGCCTTCCCCACCCCCACCTTCTCTCTGAAGCTAAAAGCCCAGCACAGGTGATGGAAACATCGTCCTGGAGGCTAAAAATACAGCTGAGTGTGTCTAGGTCATAGTGCTTAAGGGCTCAAGGTCTTTTGCTCAGTTATGTGGTGTCAGGCTCCAGCCCCAGATGCTCATTTCGATGCTTTGCATGCCTGGGGAGTTTCGGAGACTTATTTCATGGAAAGAATGAGGATATTCATGGCAGCACCTTGCCTTCAGTAAAGATGCTGATGTTTGAGTCCATTTGCCTGACTACACTTTGCAGGCTGGTTCTTTTCCTCCTCCTGGGGAACCTGCCTAAGCCGTGGTGTTTGGTCAGTCTAGTGTTTAAAATACTGATTAGAATGAAGTCTGTTCTGAAGGCTGTCATGTTGCAGATGAACACAACACAAAGGTGTCTGATCCCAAACATCTAGAGCTTTTACTTGCAAGGCATAGTGGTGCACACCTTTGGCCCCAGCACTCTGTAGGCAGAGGTTCTCTGAGTTTGAAGCCAGCCTGTCCTAACATAGAGAGTTCCATGCTATCAAGGAGACACCACCTTAACAAAGAATTCCTAGGTACTTTGCAGTACTTCTGGTCATATGATCATATTTTACAGAGCCTCTCCCCCAAGCCTTCTGAAGGAGGTCCTGAGGACCAATTTGATAGTTCAGCAGAGAAAGGTAGACACCACCAAGCCTAGTGAGTGTGTTTGATCTCTGGGGCTCACATGGCAGAGAGAACTGGTTGTTGTATATTGTCCTCTGACCTCCACATTCAAGCCTTCACACCCATGGGCACACACACACTGAAAGACACACACACACTGAACAACACACACACACACACACACACACAGAGAGAGAGAGAGAGAGAGAGAGAGAGAGAGAGATTTTGGGAATACAGGTCAGTCAGTGGACTGCTTGTCTTACAGCTGAAGTTGTGGTTTCCATACCCAGCACCAAATGAACTGGGTGTGATACACACACCTGTAATCCAAGCACTCGGGAGGTAGAACAAGCATCTAGGTGGTGTAAGGCCAGCCTGGGAATACAAAGCCCTGTCTCACCTGAACTCTGTCTGTCTGTCTGTCTGTCTGTCTCTGGATTAAGCACATGCCCTCTACCACTGAGCTACATGTACTCATTCTCAACATTTCAAACAAACATCAGATCGTTCTCTCAATTTTTCTCTGGATTTAGGCTTGGCTCAGCACTGAGTTGCTTGCTGATCCTAGCTCAGGAATAGGATCTCAGTGATAGGAAATTTAAGAGAGAAGGGAATTCACTGTTTTGATGGAGTAAGAAAAAAGAATCTGGCCCTGGGCACACATAGTGATCTGTGGGTACATTTGGGTAAAAATGAGGAAATGGAGTCATTGAATTTAAAGTCAGGAGGCCAGTGGCCCCATGGCAGGCAGAACATCAGTTACCATCCCTGGTCCAAGGCCAGTGATTGGTGAGTGTTCAGTGCATGTGGTCAAATCTACTGCATCACAGGTCAGGACTCTCCACATTCTCTCTCCAAAGGTTCTCTGTCCTTCTGCACGATGAACCTCAGTTGGATCCCCATATGGGTGTGGGAGTTTGCTGCTTGTACGCCAAATGAAAACAACCGAGGAGATGGGGAAATGGCACTGTGGCTTGAAGGGTGGTGTCATAAAGGGAGAAGACACGGAGTCATAAAGCAGGTGCACTATCTTCTCGATGAGCTGATCCTCCAGAAAGAAAATAAGAGCCGAGAAAAACTACAGAGAAGAAAGAAAGATTACAGGAGCTAAAAATACTAGGAAGAAAGCTTGGCTGGGCATCAGAGAAGGACAGATGTGTTTCCAAATAGAAGCATGAGCTCGCAGGTGTCAAGGAGCTCAGCTCCAAACGGGAAGCAAGGAAAAAAACCTTCATAGAGCAAGACACAGAAGGAGGTATGGACAGCCTCTTCCCTTAACCCCAAACTCTCCCACCAAGCACTAACTACCCTAACTCTGTTTAGATTCCATTAGATCAAACAAGGTATTTTCAGGGTGGTATTGCTGTGAAATTGATCTCACTGCCCAGGCCAAATGACAGTAAAGACCAAAACCCTTACTAGGTGCAGGAACCTAGACCAAATACTATCTGAAGCCTGGCTTCATGATTCTAAACAACGTTTGAGGCCAGAACCTCTGAAGAGCCTAACTACTTTTCTCACTGTATCTACGGTGCCCCTTTCCCACCTAATGAAACAAAAAATTTTTCAAGAAATGCAGCATTTTAGAAAGTTCTACAACTGAGTATTCAGTGAAAATAAATCAAGAAAGGAGATCTTAGGGAGCGTGGGGTAGAGCTCAGTGGTGGAGTACTTACCTAGCATGTGAGAGGTCAGAGATGGAGGGAGGGAGAGAGAGGGAGGGAAGCAGGCAGGGAAGCAGGGAGGGTGGAGGGAGAGAGGGGGAGAGAGGGAGGAGATGAGAAGAGGATGCTTTGATATCCAACCTGCATCAGAACTATTTTTTACCTTAAAGGAGTCCATTGTTTGGTTTTATAAACCAAATTGGTTGCTATGAAAACCTGAGTTGAAGGTCTTGTCAAATGTTGGATCATGCCACTAGACTATGGGCATCAGGAACTAGGGAGAAGGGTTGATAAATAAACAGGTCACAATGTAACATTAATAACAGCATTATCTACTTTTTAAAAAGCTTTTAAAAAACATTTATTGTGTGTTAGCACAATATATGTATGTATTGTTTCAAAAATGTATGTTTGTGTGTTAGCATGTGTATGGAGGCCAGAGGAATATCTGCAGATGTTGGTTTTGTTGGTTTTCTCTTTCCTCTGTGTACTTTCTAGAGGTCATGGCAAGCACTCTTACCTGAGACATCTCAATAGCCCGAGTATATACTTGAAAATTTATATATATATATATATATATATATATATATATATATATATGAATGATATATGTATACGTATGTGTGTGTGTGTGTTGTGTACCATGACACACATGTAGAGATCAGAGGACAACTTCGTGGAGTTGACATTCTACTTTTATGTAGGTTCTGGCACTTGGATTCAGGTCACCAGCACTGCATTGGCAGGCAGGCAGCAAGCATCTTTATTCACTGAACCATCCTGCTGACCCTTATTATATATTTTCTTTTTTAAAGGATTTGAAGCTAGGTGTGGTGTCACACACCTTTAATCCCAGCACTTGGGGAGCAGAGGCAGGCAGATCTCAAAGAGTTTTTGAGGTCAGCTTGGTCTACAGAGTGAGTTCCAAGACAGCTAAGGCTACATGGTGAGACCTGGTCTCATTAAAAAAAAAATAAAAAGGATTTGTTTATATATTTATGCCACATGGAGGCCAGGGGAAAGCATTAGATCCCATAGAGTTACAAGTGTTTGTGAGGTGCTGGAAACTGAACTCAGGTCCTCTGGAAGAGCAGAAAGTGCTCTTAACTGCTGAGCCATCTCGGAACCCTCTTGCTAGCTACTCAGTTCAATCTGGATCACCTGAAGGCAAAATGCCACACCTCTGGCTTGAGATTCCTAGTGTAAGAATATTTGGCACCAATTATGTGGGTAGTGGTGCCGGGAACTCACTCTGCATCGGTCCACTTCATTCTCATGGTAATCATTTTGGAGGTGCTGTTGGCTGTCTCTGTCTCAAGGAGAACATTCCAATTCAGAGATACAAATTTGCTTACTTGCTGAGTGATGGATCTGGGATACCAACTTAGGTAGAACAATCTCTGAGCCTAGAGGTAGTCTTGTGACAAGATAGGACTAAACCTGGGCCCAGGGATGGTGGGTAGATGGACCAGCTAGGGAAGAGGCAGAGTCACTGTGACAACTGAGAATGGCCCAGAGCAACCTATGTGGACTTTGGCTGGATCACTAGCCACAGGGACTGGGGAGATGCTCTTGAGCAACTTGTGCTTCGGTTTCTTCATTTGTAAACTAAGGGCAGTACCAGTACCCACACCATGTGACTGTGGGCAGCATTTTATGATAGGAGCTTAAATAGCATCTGTCATTCAGTAGCTCTTCAATAAATAAGAATTTTATTGATGCAGGAGACATAGCATAAGTGCAGTTATTAAGGGTTGGCTTAAGAAGAATGGGTGGGTGTACCTTTAGGGTGCAGCCAATGGAAGTGAGCCAGGCTGAACAGAGGGAATAAACTGAATTAAATCTGAAGAGTGCAGAGCTGGAGCAATGGCCCCACACTTGAGAGCAACTGCTGGTCTAGTGAACCAGAGTTTGGGTCCCAGCACCCACATGGTGGCTCGCAGCTGCCTGTAAGTAACTCTAGTTCCAAGAGATCTGGTGCCTTTCTCTTGCCTTCATATTGACTTGTGCATGCATGCATATACACACAAATAATTCAAAATAAATACTGTTAAAATATGACCAGTGGGGCTCTGGATAGAGGTCAGTAAGAGTGCTTCTCTAGCATGCTTGAGACCCAAAGTTCAAATGCTTGACACGAGGGGCACAGGGGCAATTGTTTCAAGGGACATCTATGTGAATGGCTGTGTGCCAGAACGTACAGTGTTTCCCAGAAACGAAGTTGTGTCTATCATTGAATGACAAAGCTAACAGAGTAAATGTGGTGGGCAAATGTCTGGAAGAAAGCTGATGAGAAAATCAAACTGGAGATGGGGAAGGAGGCTGAGCATGGTGGCATATGCCTGCAAGCAATCCCAGTACTCAGAAGGCTGAGACAGGAGGATCTTGAGTTCCAGAACACGGTCTAGGTGACTTTATATAAGGGAGACTGTGGGGGAGGGGAGGGAAGCTGGGGAAGGAAAGGAAAACAGAATGACTCTCACTATGGCTTCCTGGTTTCCACCAAGTAGTCAAATGCAGTGACTACTCAGTGACCTACAAGCATGGTGCCACCTCTCCAGGATTCACTGGTTTGGAAGGATGTTTTCTTGTCTGGTTTTAGGTATTTGCAAACCCTCCCAAAGACAAACCTTTTCCAATGTCCTGCTATAAAACCGACCCACCTCTTGGGAGGTGAAGCCAGAGTTTGCTGCTGAATAGGCAGCATTGTCTTCCCAAGTGTCTGTGGGCACAGATGCCATGGGCCTTGGGGTGGCTCTACCACAGGGCAGCCTGTGTTGTGGTCGGCCTGCCAGCTTTGATTCACTCCAGGGACAACAGTTGAAATTTCAAACAGGCAACACATGGTGATTCCAGGAGTCCCTGCCAGACACATACTTTGTTTTTCCATCCTTTCACCCTCCTCCCACTCTGGAAGGAGCCTCCTTTGGCATTCTGTATATGAAAAATATCAAAACCACCAACGGGACCTGCACCTGATAAGGAGCAAGGCATTGCCCAAGAGTTCCCAGGAAGAGGCGATCTTTGTTCTCATTTCCAGGCCTTTATAGTGCTAACAGCTCTAATTACTGCATTTGCCATGGGATGTAAAATAAAACCACATTCCAGAAACCATGTCATCTCCTTGGGCAAGAGACACAGGGAGAGGTGCTCTGGGCTGCAGGAACGTGTTCTTTCATTTCTGGTCCCCTAACCTTGGCAACTATTTGGATAAATTAACAGTACCCTCTTTATGTGCATGGAGAAGGGCACTTCTGCACACAGAAGGATGACCTCGACATCTGTACTCACATAACCTGGCCTGCATGTCTGCTGGCATTTTATGCAAAGTGTGCTTCCTAAGAACACGAGGATCTTCCCCCCAAGCCTTTCAGGGAAAATGAAGACTCCAGACATTTTGGAACTTCTTCTAAAAATCCTTTGACCATAAAATCTGATGATGTAATACCTGCCCACACCCACTTCACAAACCAAAGTGACATCAGAAATCCTGGAGTAAATAGCTCAAAACTGCCTGCATTGCCATCCAGAATCTAAACAGACAGCAATTTGCTCCAGATGAGAAAGGCAGGTGACTAGACATATGAAAGAAACAATACACAACACATAGAAATGTGGTGAGGGGAAAAAAAGAAAAATATGCATTTCTTCCCCCTACTAAGGTAGCTAAAATAAAAAGGCAACCAAAATATGGTCATTTTATTGAAAAAATACTTATGTGTATGTGTGTGTGAGCCTGATATGTGTTGACTATTAAGGCCACTTAAGAGGCAGGAAAGGCTTTCGATGCCACGGCCTCCCTTTGTAAACCCTCAAGGCAGGCACCAGCCTGAAGAGCTCCAGCAGGCCCTCCTCCAGGCCTCCCTAACTCATAACTGTGTTTCCAGCCTCTGTAACTCTCACAAAGGTCATTCCTAGCCCCTCAGCAAGACCCTCCCCAGATTATGCTAATTTTAGGTGAAAAGTCTGAACAAAACCCACCAATCCTTGATCTTCCCACAGAAATCCACCAACCCTTAAGCATGAAAACACATCAATCCCTGAACAGGAAAGCCCAATATCTGAGCTCCCCTAAACCCAGGACTTGAAATCCCACCAGTCCTCACCCTGGAAATCTCCACACACACCCCCTCCCCAAGAACCCTTATAAAAGCACTGCTTTGTCCAATTGTCGGCTCCCTCTCAGGAGTAGAGGCAGCCACTTCGTTTCTCCACACCCTGGACCCTTCAATAAATCTGTCACAAGATTTGCTGTCTGGTGTGACTCTCATCAGAAGAAGTCAGGAAGCAATGAAGAGAAGGGAATAGAAGTGGAGTGGGGCTGAGGCACTCAGCTCAGCTGGCATCCCTCCCCTGGGAGGGACACTTCGTCTGCTGAGGAAGTTTCTTTAGAGCTGTGTGGTACCTGGGCTCCTGTGTCTAGGATACCTTTCCCTTAGAATAGCTGGGGGATTGATGGATTTCCGAGTCCCAGGACACCATATGTGCACTACCTATGTGCAGGAGCCCAGGGAGGTCAGGTGTTGGGTCTTCTGAAATAGTAGCCAGCTCTCGACTGCTGAGCTCTCTATTCCCTGATTTCACTCATGTATATGTATATGTATATGTATATGTATATGTATATGTATATGTATAA